AACTAATCCATATTGACTGGAATCCTGTTAATATGTTATCCAGGGGTATGTTCCCCTCTGGAATTTGTTGGACATTTTTGACTGATGCATAGCATCCTGTTGATGTGGATGCATATTAAGTCACATATTGGCTTGTGAATTCAGTTGCCATAAAGAGAAGGGTTAAATGAATGTGTGATCTGCGTTATGCAACCCTGATGTGAAATCTCAACTGCTGAAAGCAGAGATACCATTAAATTTAATCAATTAAACTTTACCAGATTCAGCTGTTGAGGGTTAAGAGTCCTGTAGTGATAAATGGGTCCAAGTACCTCCAGCTCTTCTTTTTCCCACTTACAGTTCGTAATTAGATGTGCGGGGCGTGTGCGCCCACTCTCTTTGCAATAAATCAATGTTCTGTGTTTTGCTTGATATTTCTAAATATCCTCCTAGATTGGGCTGTGAAAACCCCAAGTGCAAGCTGTTTATCCTGATTCCTGGCTGCTAGTAATTGGAAACATTATTCAGCTCTGCTTCCTAAATTGGACTAGTAATATCTTGAGAAGGATCTGGCAGGAAAGGACACCGAATGGCTACTAGTCATAACAACATAGATAAGAGCTTAACCATATTCCGAGGATGTAGAGCACAAATGTTTTGGAAAATACTCAGGGAAAGAGATGAGCCAAATATATTTCAGTCATAAAACCTTCCAAAATCTTCAGAGCATCCTCTTGCTCTTTAAGAACTGATCTCTCAGGGCAGAATTCCTGGTGAAGCTTTCCTTTGTAAGAAAAATATATTGTTCCTCCATAAGAAAAGCATCTCATTTTTCATTGTGACCTTAGTGAAGTATTCTGATGTCCTTTAATTGGAATGTGTAGGGTTGTGATATACCTTCAGAAACAAATCTCATTCAACACTGGCTTGAGCTTCCTTCTCTCATGAATTTTCTTAACAGGATAGAGCCATATATTTCCCAAACTCTGCATAACGTCGTCCTAAAGACATCTGGCAAGATACCATGGGAAATAGATTGCTGAGCTTGGAAGGAACTTTGGTTTAAGTCATCAGTGCAACTCTTATGGCCTTAACTAAGGGCTGAGAAAGCATCCTTTATGAACAAGATGAAGGCCAACACCAATACATTCCTCACTTCTTATATGCTTGTGCAGAATTCTGAAATTGAAGAACTCATTCTGAGAGCAAATAGTGGTCTTGGCAGCCATATTTGTTGATCATATTTCTGCCTCATTTGTGTGTGCACAAGTGATTTGGAACATCGAATGCATGCAAAGGTGAGAGTAAGCAAATTCTTCCATTTCTTACTTTTCTGCATTCATCTCTTAAGTTCTCCTCACCTTCCTCCACCTCAGCTTTCATTTGATGCAAAGAACGATCCACTCTTGATGAAGTCGTACATGAAATGCTGGACCAAGCAAGATGATATTTTATAGGAAATGTCAGTACACCTTCACCTTGGTGTTGTACAGTGCTATAAACCATGACCTGGATACCACTTGTCAAATCTCAATAATAACCTCAGCAGATGACATAAGACAAATTCCCCTTTCCTCTTATTTCAAACCATACAGAATTGTATGTGTTCAGAACATGAACAAATAAAAGACAATAGCAAGATTAGGCTATTTGTATCCGTGCCCAGTGACTTTGTTAATAGAAGCCTGGGGCTGCTGGAACATTTTGACTAGTATGAGTGTCTGTAGGGTTGACCAGGAAGCAAGGAACTGTACTTCTGTATTTGTACTCCATCCCAAAACCTGGAGGTGGGAAGAAGGAGGTAATTCCGACCATAAATATATGTTCTAGACCAGTGGTTCCCAACCTGTGGTAAGTGGATCACCAGTGGTCCACAAGAATGGAAATATGGTCTGCGGCCTCACCATTACTACACCACTGTTCTAGACTCACAGAGCAAGGAAAAGGAGGGGTGCAGTCCACCTATGATGGCACTCCTCCCTTCAGAGTTCACCATCTGAGAATGAAGCTAACCTACCTGAGCAAATGCCTGATAGGTCAACCAAGGGTCAGACATGTTCCTCTCCAGAGCAACAGATTCTCAGCAGCAGGTGAAAGTAAGCCCACCAAGCCCCAGTGAAAGAGGAAGACTAAGGTGGCTGATACAAACCCTCCCTCCCAGATGCAGTAAAAGAGCTTTATACTTATAGTTATGAGATAGAATCATAGAATCATGGAATCATAGAGTTAGAAGAAATCTCGTGGATCATCCAATCCAAACCCCTGCCAAGAAGCAGGTAAATCACATTCAAAACAGTCCTGACAGATGACCTCTGCTTAAAAGCCTCCATAGAAGGAGCTTCCACCACACATGTGCATTCTACATACTATCTGGGATGTGGGAACTGGTATTTTTGCACAATTTCTGACTAAAGCACACTTGTGTTTTGCTTCGATTATAATACTTTTTTGCATTGCCCATCTCCATTCTTAATTGTTCAAGTTCCAGGGAAAGGTTGCCTTCTGCTGCTGAAGGCCCTTTTTGCTCTGGTTCTTCTAAAACATTTGGTTTGATTCCTCTACATTCATCGGTTGAATCTAGCTGGGACTAGCAATTGCATTTTGACCAAGGTGACTTGATAAGTGCATCTAGGCTTTTTTTTTGTGTGTGTGTGTGTGTCAGTAGGCAGTAGTCTAAGAGTGCATAAGCAAATCATGGCACAAAAAGAATCTAAATCAATATGCACTTTCTTGATTTAGTATATGTACCTATAGATAGAAGGCTAGGAGGGAAATGGGAATGAAGGTAAGAAAACTGCCAGCAAGGAACTGTAAGTGTTCCTGATCCAGAATTAATTTCAGAAAGTATCCTGGTTGAACTAGGAAAATATGGGAAAGATTGAATCTGCACATTTTAGATGTACTTTAATTTGTTTCTAAGGCTCTATGCAGGCATGGGCAGACTTGGGCCCTCCAGGTGTTTGGACTTCAACTCCCACCATTCCTAATAGCCCCAGGCTTAAGCAGCTGAGGGGAAAAAGGGAGAGTTCTGAGGCTGTTAGAAATGGTGGGAGTTGCAGTCCAAAAGACCTGGAGGGCCCAAGTTTGCCTATGCCTGCTTTACATGATTGGGAACTGGCTTATCTAACTGAACTCATACTATATAAGCTTGCATGAACTTTACAATCACCATCTGAGAGCTGTGACATTGTTCAGTGTCAAGCATAGGACCTTTTATGTGACAGCACCATATCTATGGAGAGCCCTCTCTCAGGACGCTCATGTTACCATCTCTTACTTGACGTTTAGAAGATTTTAAAGGCATATCTATTCCCATTTGCATTTGCATGTTTCTAGTGTTCTGTGCTGTGACATTTGATCTGCTGCTACTCTTGTTGGTTCTTTTAATGGTTTATGCATTACATGTTCATTATTGTTCATATGGTTTAATTATTCGTCTGAATATTAAAATAAGTTGTAATCTGCTTGTATATGTGTCTCTTAATCGGAAAAAGGCCAACATCTTAAATAAACAAATAATATCCCGCAAAAACTGACAGAACAGGTGGAAAAGAGAACTCTGCCTGTTTCAAATTATTTTTTATTTTTAGTGTAAATGCACAATTGCAACATAAAATAATAAATTAAACAGACCAGCAAATAGATAGATAGTTAGAGAACAAAATTACTAGCTCAGGAATAGTAAGGAGGAATGGGGAGAAGGGGGGAGGAAGAGAATCTCATCCACTGACACTGCATGAAAGTTGGGTTGCTGGCAGAAGGGATCCATTGCACTAAGGTTAGTCATGGGAACATGGTGGGAGTTATTGGTGGGTTTCATTAATTAAAAGGGATGGGAGACACATGAGGGGAGAGACAAAGCTGGAGCCCAATGAATATAGCATACAACTGCTTTCTTCGTGTGATAAAAATCCCGAAACAGTTGGAATGGGCAATGTTCTGCCCCTCTTCCCTCCCTCCCTCACCTCCCCACACACTGAGTAAAGTAAGAGCAGATTTGTATTAGCTAATTCAAGGTGACAAGAGCCCAGTTCTTATTCCTGACAAACACATGGCTACATCGGGAATGTTTTTTTCATGTCAGGAGTGACTTGAGAAACTACAAGTCACTTCTGGTGTGAGAGAATTGGCCGTCTGCAAGAAGGTTGCCCAGGGGATGCCTGAATGTTTTGATGTTTTACCATCCTTGTGGGAGGCTTCTCTCACAAGGATGGGGAGCTGGCACTGACAGAGGGAGCTCATCCACACTCTCCCTGGATTTGATCCTCCAACCTGTCGATCTTCAGTCCTGCTGACACAAGGGTTTAACCCATTGTGTCACCGGGGATTCCTTATATTGGGCAATGTAAGATCCCAGTTTATATGTGCTGGTTGCAGTACAGAATATATTGTACTGGGAAACTACCTATATACCACTTATCGTGTTTGCATTCTTCACTTATCATTGGACTCATAGGACCCAGGATCATGTTAAACTGGCTGGGGATACAGGGGGTTGTAGTACAAAAAAAAGTAACTTTATCAAGCTGTAAGTGGAGAGAGCAGAGTGCAAGAAAACACATTTACTACTTCAGTCCAAGATTTCAACAGCCAACTACATGGCATACCTCTCAAAAACAAGCCTGTTCCAGAGCAAGTTCTCACTCCTATGTATCTGGTTTTACTTCAAAACAACAGCTCCTTCCCAAGAGCCAAGGGAGTTCAGAAGGACACTCAGATTGTGCCAGATAATAGTACAGTCTCTTCTTCACATCCACATTTTATGGATCAGCATTTTAAGCCTCTCTGGGAACAAATAAAGCCTTTTATGCTACGTTGGGAGGAACAGTTCATTTTATTGCCAATGTTTATAGCTCCCTGTGGTTGAGGCTGCTAACAGTAATTAAAATTGTAAAACTATCCACAAGAAAATCCCTAAATTACGATGCAGCAACAGAAACACTTAAAAAATAAAAAAATCAATGAAACCTATTCTTCCCACTCTTTTGGTTCCATCGCATGGTGGCAAATTTTGAACGCATTGACAATGACACCACTCATAGCCTCATCACAAGGAGATCCCAAAACAGCCAGGCAGCTGTCCTGACCCATGATGAAAAATCAATGCTAATATTTTGTCTCCACCGAAAACAGAATCGCTAATGCCTCCTACTTGACCTTCCAAGACAAGCCATCCCAAAATAATGTTTCTCATTAGTACAGATAACTTACAACAAAATGCCCTTGGTGGGAAATCCTCCTGTTATTGTTGTTACATTCAGAGGAAGCGCAGAATACTGGGGAGCAAGCAGATGATGTAATTGTGTCCATGGCCAAAACAAAATCACAATGCTTCATTCCAGGAAGCCCTCAAGTAAACCACTGGTCAGCTCCAAAGACCAACATATGCTTTTTCTCAAGGTGCTTTTTTGTCAAGTAAATTAGTTTAAATTTGTTTCCTGGAGTCATATAGAAATACACATTGACAAATTTCTTTGTTGACAAAATCTTGGGGTACATCTGGAAGTCTCTGTTCCTCATGTCAGATATTCTAACAGAAGGGAAGTGGATCACAAAGGATCAGGGAAAAGAATATCAGTCTGAGGTAGTGGTTCCCAAACTTTGGTCCACCAGAAGAAAGTTTGGACTTCAACACCCAGAAGCCCCATATATGCTAATTCAAGATCCAATAATAATAATAACTATTTCTGATTCCAAGCATTTCAGATAGAAGAGACTTAACCTCTACAATTTCAGGGCGATTTTTAAGGGGGAAGGGGAGGGGGAGGAGATTTTAAGAACATAAACAAGTCCCTTGAAGTCCACTGATTAAGTTACAGAAAGGACATTTTCTCTGCCTAGACAGCAGCCTCAGAGGCGCTCCCATTGAGTGAAGCCTTCAGTTGCAGTCCATTGTGCTGAAGTTCCACATCTGACGTGGGTTGGGTCATCAGCTGAAAACGCTGGTCAAAGAATAAACAGAGAAGAGATGGGTAACATGTGAAACCTTACAAGAGCAAGAGAATGGGAATGACCTCAATCTTAATTTTCCCCAATCCCAACTAATTCTGTCTTGGGTCTCAATCTGGGAAGAAGGCAGCATACAAGTGTAATAAATAAATACTAAAAAGAAACAAACTCTTGAATGGTGAGACCACACTTATGTACCATACCACTTGTATTTTATTTGAGTCTGAGAATGGGATTGGAGCCCATGCTTTCTTTTCCATTAAGCATACTGTTCCCTTCGTTGTATTATGTTCTCCTTTGACAATAGGCAGATAGATAAAACCAGCTTCATCTTAGTGATTTTTGTGTCAAGAAAAACCCCATTCTTCTCAACACCCCCCCCCCCCGGGGGGGGGACGGGGGGACACTCAAGGCAGTTTACAACCAGCAACAATTTGATGCTGACACATGCAAGCAACACAGTATAACACACATAAACATTTGTTAAAACGATAAATTATAATATATACATTTAAAACATTATTTACAACAATGTAGCTACATCCAATTCAGCATCCAGAGACCCAGTCCAAAGCCTGTCCATTATCAGTTCTCATGAAGCATTGCAAATTACTGTTAAGCCTGCTACCTGAATGCCTGGTCCCAAAACCATGACTTGAGTTTTTTCCTAAAGGAAAGGAAAGATGGAACCAACCTAATTTCACTGGGGAATGTGTTCCACAGACAGGGAGCCACCACCGAGAAGGCCCTGTCTCTCGTCCCCACCAGTTGCATTTGGAGGAGGGCGGGATTGAGAGCAGCATCTCCCCGGATGATCTTAGACTCTGAATTGTGCTAGGAAAGGAACCGGCAGCCAGTGGAGCTGACACAACATGGGGGTGGTATGTTCCTTGTATGTCACTCCGGTGAGTAATCTGGCTACCGCCTGGTGGACTAGTTGGAGTTTCTGAACAGTCTTCAAAGGCAACCCCACCTAGAGTGCAGTAATCTATTCGGGATGTAACAAGAGCATGGATCACCATGGTCAGATCAGACTTCCCAAGGTACGGGCACAGCTGGTGAACTAGTTTTAACTGTGCAAAAGCTCCCCTGGCCACCACCGAGACCTGGGGTTCTAGGCTCAGTGATGAATCCAGAATCACTCCCAAGCTATGAACCTATGAGATTATTTCAGCATAGTTAAAGCATTTTGAGACAATTTAAAGTCATGGGATTTTTTTTTTAAAAAAAGTCAGTTGCCATTGCAAACTATAAAACTATTAAAACTATACTCTTTTAATTGATATTTTGTGTTTTTGTGTGATATTATTTGTTTTGAACTGTTGTTGTGTGTCATATATTAATCTGTTGTTACTCTCCTTGAGAAAGATAGAAAAATATTATGCTGATGATGTCTGTGTTAGAAAAGTAACAAAGAAATCCTGCAAATTAATTAATTGGTTAAATCTTGTATATGTTGCTTGATGATAGACACAGTCAGCAGCAAGTCATAGTCTCATCCTTCCATCATGGACTTCAGGAGGAGCTATGCTAAAATTGCTGAGAGTATAAATTACTGAATAAGACAGGATAGCATGACTTCGGAAGAAAGATGGGAACCTTCATGTTTTTTAAAGAACTCAGACGCAACTGAGATATGCCCCCATGAGGTTTAGGAAACATTTAGTTCATCTTTCCTAGCACTGGTGCATTGTTTTAAAAGAAACCTTAATGCTCAGTAGCACTGAAATGGCCTGTCATCTCCTCACCTGTCAGAATCACTTTATTCTGCATCAACATCTCATTTCCCTGCGAGCCTCAGCTCTGTTACAAACTCATTGTGGAATCCTTGCAAGATGGGAGGACAAAGCTTCATGCACAAAGAGGGAAATGGACACAGGGATGGGGGCGGGGGGTTGTTGATAAGTCTTTTTGATAGACAACTCACATTCAAGTACATAAGCAGCCATAGCTGATAACTTTTAACACCCAAGCCAAGTATCAGGAAATGAACTATGGCATTTTTCTCAACCCTTCTAATGCCATGACACCATAATACAGTTCCTCATGTTGTGGTGACCCCCAACCATAAAATTATTTTTGTTGCTACTTCATAACTGTAATTTTGCTACTGTTATGAATCAGAATGTAAATATCTGATATGCAGGATGTAGTTTCATTCATTGGACCAAATTTGGCACAAATACCCAATATGCCCAAATTTGAATACTAGTAGAGTTTGGATGTGTGTGTGTGTGTGTTAATTTTGCCATTTGGGAGTTGTAGTTGCTGGGATTTATAGTTCACTGACAATCAAAGAGCATTCTGAACTCCACCAGCGATGGAATTGAACCAAACTTGGCACAGAGATCTCCGGTGACCAACAGAAAATACTGGAAGGGTTTGGTGGGCATTGACCTTCAGTTTTGGAGTTGTAGTTCACCTACATCCAGAGAGCACTGCGGAGTCCAACAATCATGGATCTGAACCTAACTTGGCACAGATCCTCAGTATGTCCAAATGTGAACACTGGTGGAGTTTGGGGAAAATAGACCTTGACATTTGGGAGTTGTAGATGCTGGTATTTATAGTTCACCTAAAATCAAAGAGCATACTCAAGCCCACCAATGATAGAATTGGGTCAAACTTCCCAAACTTTTCTGATAGTCTTTGGCAACTCCTCTGACACCCCCTTCCGACCCCCCCCCCCCCAACCAGGGTCCTGACTTCCAGGTTGAGAAACGCTGAGCTATGACATTGTAGTGTGAGCTATCCAAGGTGCTGACCCATTGTGAGTAAGTAAGAGATCTTTCACACCAGCAAGTAAAAGATCTTTCACACCACAAAGTGATAGCACTATGATTCCACTTTAACTGCCTCGACTGCTTTCTATGGAATCCAAGAAATTATGGTTTGGGGAATTACTAGAGCTATCTGGTTCAGAATTCAGAACACTGCTCCCTAAACTGCAATCTCAATAATTCCATACAATAAAACCACTGGAGTTAAAATGGAATTATAGTGCTGAGACTATGTAGTGTGGAAGTATTCTTGGATACTTCTATGAAAGCAGGATGGGTTTCATCACTCCACGGATCATAGCCACCAGCCTTCACTGAGAGCCATCTCAAACTACACTATAATAGCATAGCATTGTGTTTTTATTAAATTGTCATGGTGACATTCTATGGAATCCTGGGATTTGTAGTTTCATTAAGCATCTGGTTAAGTATTTTAAATATCCTTTCCTGCAAATCCCATAGATGTTTAATTGAAATCATACTGCCACAATTGTGTAGTGTCAAACAACCCTGGGCAAGAGTGTACAAGGGAACACGGGGGTGGTAATTCAATCCATCATTGTTAAAAATCACCCCCACTACCTTTTAGTGTTTTTCAAGTAATCCCGTATATAACATGCTACAATTTGGAATAATAAGTTTCTGCATTGTCTATCTGTCACTTTAAAAATAGATAATAGAATGGTATAAAATTTGAAAATCCATGTCAAAATGCCCCTGAAAATGTCTTTAAATGTCAGCGGAGCTGTTGTATTCCCTCCAACATTTCACAGAGGGGGAAAAAAAACAGGATATGTGTGGCCAAGAAACATCAAAATGACAAAAGGTATTAATGAGGATGAACACACAAGTTTGGAGAGGCTGCAGGAGTTTGCCTTTGCCTAGATCTACTAGGAAAAGCAGGGTTCTGCACTGTCCTGTGAGTTAATGGGGTGCAAAATACTCCTGCATTTTTCATCCATTTTGCACTAATTAAAGTCAGCAAAGACAAAAGTGGGAAGAGAGAAGAAACACTGAGACATTTTAATAGCAGTTGAAAAAGTGGAATGACAGAGCATTAATTGGAATTGACCCTGACAAATCAGGACAGTTGGAGGGCATTATAGTTTCTGTTTGGAAAGTTGCAGTTCTGAAAAGGCAATTATAACTATAGGGAGCATACAACACCCCTATTAAAACAGCTCTACTGGCGGCTAATAAGTTGTCAGGCCCAATTTAAGGTGCAGGTTATAAAGCCCTAAAGCAGTGTTTCTCAACCTGGGGGGTCAGGATCCCTGTGGGGGTCATGAGGAGTTGTCAGAGGGGTCACCAGAGACCATCAGAAAACACAGTATTTTCTGTTGGTTATGGGGGTTCTGAGTGGGAAGTTTGGCCCAATTCTATCATTGGTGAGGTTCAGAATGCTCTTTGATTGCAGGTGCACTATAAATCCTAGCAACTACAACTCCCAAATGCCAAGGTCTATTTTCCCCAAACTCCACCAGTATTCACATTTGGGTAATATTGAGTATCTGTGCCAAGTTTGATCCAGATCCATCTTTGTTTGAGTCCGCAGTATTCTCTGGATGTAGGTGAACTACAACTCCAAAACTTAAGGTCAATACCCACCAAACCCAGTATTTTCTGATGGTTGTGTGAGTTCTGTGTGCCAAGTTAGGTTCAATTCCATCATTGGTAGAATTCAGAATGCTATTTGATTGTAGGTGAACTATAAACCCCAGCAAATACAACTCCCAAATGACAAAACTAATCCCCCCCCCAACCCCACCAGTATTGAAATTTGGGCATATTGGGCATTTGTGCCAATTTGGTCCAGTGAATGAAAATACATCCCGCATATCAGATATTTACATTACAATTCATAACAGTAGCACAATTTTAAAAAAAGTTATGAAGTAACAACAAAAATAATTTTATGGCTGGGCGTCACCACAACATGAGGAACTGTGTTAAGGGGTTGTGGCATTAGGAAGGTTGAGAAACACTGCCCTAAAAGGTTCGGGCCATGCCTATCTCCGTGATCGCATCTCCCCCTATGAACCAGCATGTACTCTTAGATCTACTGGGGAGGCCTTCCTCTCACTCCCGCCACCATACCAAGCACGGCTGGTGGGGGCGGGGGAGAGGGCCTTCTCAGTGGTGGCCCCCTGCCTTTGGAACACTCTCTCCAGGGAGATAAGACAGGCCCCATCGCTATCCTCCATCTGGAGGGA